ACCCACAGGCTGAGAACCACTGCTCTGACGTCTCCGCCCTGGTTTGCTCGTGGTCAAGGGCTGCTGCCCTCCAGGCCTCCCGGCCAGAGGCTGTGCTCTGGCTCCCAGCAGAACACCTGGGCCGAGTGGGGAGGCCGCCTCGCTGTCCACTGTTGTGGGGCAAAGTGGAGCAACTCGCCCTGTTTCAGGCCCCCGTTTCTGGGCCACTGGCTCTTCTCTTTGGTGGATGGGTGGGCAGGCGGGCGAGCGATTGAGCAAGTGGGAGTCCTGCCGTGGAGCGAGGCCAGAGGGGTTCCTGGGTTGCTCTCCCTCAGGAAGGGCTGGGGCAAGGTGTCCCCTCCCTCCCTGCACCCCCCTTCCCTTCCCTTCCCTCCCTCACTCCTTCCTGCCTCCTCAGTGGGGGAGCAGGTGGTGGTCCGCTCCTTCCCCGTGGCTTCGCTGACCAAGGAGGAGAAGATCACTGCCCAGGCGCCCGTGGACCAGTTCATCCCGGAGGGCTGTGCTCAGTTGCAGCTGCGCTCCTGCACCTTCCAGGTGAGTGGGGAGGGGGCAGGGGAGAGTGGGGGGGGCAGGGCTGGGGGGAGGGTGCTGTGGGGCAGCTCTCTCTGCCTCTCGGGAGGTTCTTGGAAGGCGTGCCTGGGCCTCACTGGAGGAGCTCCTTCTCTCCTCACAGTTGCTGCGCATTGCTTTTGATGAGGAGGTGGCCTCTGAGAGCGTGGAGGTCTTCCGGAAGCATCTCCAGAAGCTGCGCTACCCGCAGCACATTGCCGACACCTTCGCCTTCACGGTGGGCCAGGCGAGCAAGCCGGCCCTGCAGCCCAAAGCCAAGGAGAAGAACCCCTCCCTCAGGTGCGGGCAGGGCCCCAGGCAGGACTGGGAGGGAGGGAGGGAGGGAGGGCGGGGGGGGGGAGACGGCCCCTGGGCCCAGGGAGCAGGGCGGTGGGGGCTGCGTAGAGGGGCTCTGCTTTGGGGAATGGGTGGGCCTGGCCTGCCTTGCCTTGCCTTGGCACTGCTGCGCATGAGCCCCTCCCTCCCCCCCTTGACTGTGGCCTTTGTTTTGTGCCCAGCTCCCAGCTGGGGCCAGACAGGTTCCGGGGCGTGGCGGTGGGAGTCCCTTCCCTGGGGCGCCTGAGCCTCTCCACCACGTAAGAGGGCCACTGGGCAGGGGCTGTGGCGGCAGTGGTGGCAGTGGGTCCCTGCTGTGGGCTGCGCTCTTCTGGGCCTCAACCCCCTCCTTCTAAGCCGCCTGCCCACCTGCCTGCCCCCTCTTTGCCTCCATTGCCTGTCCCTGGGCCTGGGGAGGGCAACAAACCTTCTCAAGGCCCCTCCTGGGGTGGGGCGGGCCCCCTGTGTGTCAGCTGCAGGGATAGGGCTTGAGTGGTGGGCGCATTCCCACCAGGAAGGCCACTCTCTTCTGGTGGCGGGGTGGCGCTCTCTTCCAGGGTCTGCCGCGCTGGGCCCCTTCCCCCCCCCGTGAGTGCTGACTCCTCATTGCCCCACCACACCCCCCTTTGGCCCCTGCTTGGCTCTGCATTGCCCAGGACCCTTTGGGGCGCTGCTTTGCTCCTCCAACCCTGGCGGGCAGCAATGGGCCGGCCCCTCCTCTCCTCTCCTCGCCCCCCTCCCCCCGATGCCTGGGGGTCTCCAGCCTGGAGGCTGAGCTGGCCCCTCCTCCACCTTTAGGACCATCTCCAAGAACCTGGTGAAGAACGCCAAGAGGACCATTGGCCGCCAGTACATCACGCGCAAGAAGTACACGCCTCCTCCCTGGGAGCACCGCGGGGGCGGCCAGCAGGCCTTTCCAGAGGACAACGAGGACGAGATCTCAGGTGGGCCTGCAGCAGGCGGTCGGGCGGTCGGGTGGTCGGTCATTGGGGCGTCCCTTGCCCTGAGCAGAGCCCGTGGCCAGCGGTGGGGCAGGCGGGCAGGGGAGCCCCTCCAGCTTGGCCTAACAGCCCACTGCCCCTCCCAGTCTCTGAAGAAATGGACAGAAGCACCTTGACCCCCGCCTCCTTGACCATCCGGCCCTCGGACAAGATGACCATGGGCCAGTTGGTGGAGCGGGCCTGCTGCCGGGACTACCAGCGCCTGGGCCTTGGCACCCTGAGCAACAGCCTGACGCGCTCCAAGAACGAGCCCTTCCGCATCTGCACCGTCAACCGGATGTACGCCATCTGCCGCAGGTGAGCCACGGGGGGTGGGGTGGGGGTGGAGCTTGGGGGTCAGGGTCGGCCGCAGGGGGCCATTCTCCCCAATGCAAGGCACTTCAGCCCCAGCTGCCCACCCCCTTTCTGTTGCCACAGTTACCCGGGGCTCCTGATCGTGCCGCAGAGTATCCAAGACAACACCATCCAGCGGATCTCGCGCTGCTACCGACAGAACCGCTTTCCGGTCGTCTCCTGGAGGAACTCGCGCACCAAGGCGGTCCTGCTCCGCTCAGGCGGGCTCCACGGGAAGGGCGTCGCGGGGCTCTTCAAGTCCCCCAATGCCCCCGCCCCAGGTACGGCCCTCCACGGTCCCCTGGCTGACCCTCCATCTCCCCCTTGGCCCCTGGCACTACTCCTGTCCTCAGCCCCAGGCAGGACTGTCCCCCGCCCCCCTCCACCTCCCGCTTGGCCCTTGGCTCTATGGACATCGTCAGCCCCAGGTGTGACCTTCCTCGGTCCCCTGGTTGCCCCTCCCCCTCCCCTTCACCCCTCAGCCGCAGGTACAGACCTCCCCTGTCTGCCCCTCCATTCCCCCTTGGCCCCTGGATCTATGGACATGGTCGGCCCCAGGTGTGACCTTCCTCGGTCCCCTGGCAGCCCCTCCACCTCCCCTTGGCCCCTGGCTGCATGGGTGTCCTCAGCCCCAGGTACGTCCCTGCACTCCTTCCTTACTCAGCCCCAGGTAAGGCCCTCCTCTGTCCCCAGGCTGCCCCTCCCTCTCCCCCTTGACCCCTGGCTCAGCCCTTCCTTACTCAGCCCCAGGTGTGGCCCACCTCTGCCCCTGTCCACCCCTCCCCTTGACCCTCAGGACGTCCTCTCCTTTCAGGCCCCTCGCAGGCAGACTCCACCAGCCTGGAGCAAGAGAAGTACCTGCAGGCAGTCATCAACTCCATGCCCCACTACGTGGATGCGGGCGGCGGCCGGAATACCCTCAGCGGCTTCACTTCTGCCCACATGAGCAGCTCAGGTGAGGAGGGAGGGGCGTCTCCAGGATGCACCGGGGAGTGGGAAGCCCTCCGAGTCTCAGTGGCGCTTGGCGCAGGGGACATGGCCGAAACTGGGTTGCCCGCTGGGGCTGGACGATGGGCCTCGGTGTGGTCTGGGGTGGGGGGCACCCTGAGTGGCAGCCATGGCACCTGCCCTTCCACACACAGTTCCTCCATCCCCACACAGCTCCCCTCAGCTCCCGTCGTTTACCCAATGCATCCTGCATTCTCATTCATTGTCTGTCTGACTCATTTGGGGCGTCTGGAAGAAAGGAAACTCCCCTGACATTGCACAACCGGGAGCCCCCACACTCTGCCCCACAGCACATGCGCGCAGGGCCACTGGTTGCCCGAGGCCAGGCCTCAGGGAGACCCCCTCCCTCCCTCCCTCCCTCCCTCCCTCTAGGCAAGAGGGCCGGGCTCTTGCCTGTCCTTCCTCAGCTCTCCTGGGGCCCCACGGCTCCCTTCTGTGGGGCAAGGCGAGGAGGGGGGTGAAGGGCGGAGGGGGGCTCGCGGCCTTGAGGCCGGTCTGGAACGCCCGCACGCCTTCTGTTGGTGCTACAGATTCCTCTGAGAAGCGGCAGCCCAAGCTGGGATCCCTTATGAAGCAGGTGATGGGAGGGAAGGACGAAGGGCCCGGGCCGGTCAGCCGCGGAGGTGAGCAACGGCCGGCTGTAGAGTAGCTGCCCTGCCCGGCTCCCAAGCGGGGGGGGGGGGGGGGGGGGGCCTCCTGCATCCTGGGGGGAGGGAGGGGGAGGGAGGCGTACCCCCCACTGGTTGATTTTGGCCCCTCCATCCATTCATCCATCCATCTGTCCACGTGTCCATCCATGCCTTGCTCTGCAGCTACAGCCCCCTGGCGCTCTGTCCGTCCCTGTGTCCGTCCGCCTGCCCCTCCCCCGCCTCCCCCCCCTCCCCCGCCCTGTGGAGCCGCTCTCCGCCTGTCCTCTCTCTCAGCCCTAGGTCACAGAGCCAGGGTCATTACCCTCTCCAGCCCCAAGAGCCTGGCCGTAAAGGGACGCCTGTCCCCTCGAGGTACTGCGGGGCTGGGGCACTAACCGGGGGTGATGCGTGACGCTCGCACCGCTAACTCACCCCTCTGGTGCCCCTCCCGCCAGGCCCGGGCCAGGGGCCGGCCCCACTAACCCCCCCCCCCACTTGGGGCTAACCACCCTGAAGCACCCGCATGCCCCTTGACCCCTCTCAGGCAGGGCCAGGGTGGAGGACCCCCTCTGGCTCCCAGATGCACGGAAGTGGGCCACGAGTGGAGGCGGAATGGGGGGTGGGGGGGTGGGTGGGTGGGATGAGTGTTGTAGAAGGGAGAGAGCCCCCTCTACCCTCAGCCAGGGTCTCGCGTGCAGCCCCTCCCTGACGCCCGGTCCCTCGGCAGGCAAGTGGGGCAGCATCCGGGCCAGCGGGCGCACCAGCAGCTATGCGCTCAACATGGAGGTCGGCTCCCGCTTGGCCGGGAAGGAGCTGCTCGGCGCGCCGCCCAACGGGTCCCCCTCGGAGGCCAGCTTCCTGCGCCAGCACCGGGCCTCGCTCTACATCATCGGAGACAAGTCCCAGCTCAGGGTGCGGCCCTCAGCCCCGTAGGCCTCCCTGGGGGGGGGGGGGGGGGCGGGGGGGGAGCGGGGCGGTCCTGGGGCGCTCTCTCTGGGCAGCCTGGGCCACGCCTCTTCCTGCCCCCAACACGCTGCCCCCTTTCCAGGGAGTGAAGCCGGACCCGCTGCAGCATTGGGAGGTGGTGCCCATCGAGGTGTTCGAGGCCCGGCAGGTCAAGACCAGTTTCAAGAAGCTGATGAAGGCCTGCGTGCCGGGAAACCCTTCTGCGGAGCCCAGCCTGGCCTACCTGCGCTCTCTGGAGGAGTCCGAATGGCTGACCCAGGTCAGTGGACGGAAGGGCGTCTTGGCTCCTTCCCTGGGCTCCCTTTGGGCGTTCCCTGGTTTGGGGCGGGAAGCCCAGCCCTTCCTGCTTACCTAAGGTGGCCCCTTGACTCCTCAGGGATAGGTGGGTGGGTGGGCAAAGGCCCCCTCGGTGATGATGTCCTCTACTTCTTGACCAAGTGGCCCATGTCCAGCCCTTTCTGGGGTGGAGGGGTGGGCTCTGCCCTACGTAGCCTGACCTCAGCCCCCCCTCTCTCTCTCTGCCAGATCCACAAGATCCTACAGATTGCTGTGCTGGTGGTGGAGCTGCTGGACACAGGCTCCTCTGTGTTGGTCAGCCTGGAGGATGGCTGGGACATCACCACGCAGGTAAGCGGCCTGGCTCCTTCCTCCGGAGCATGGCCCAGGGGCTGGTGCGCAGCGCACTTCCTCCTTCCCCCCCTCACTCCCTCCCCCTCTCTCTCTGCTGCAGGTGGTCTCCCTGGTGCAGCTGCTGTCGGACCCCTACTACCGCACGCTGGAGGGCTTCCGGCTGCTGGTGGAGAAGGAGTGGCTGTCCTTCGGCCACCGCTTCAGCCACCGTGGGGCGCAGACGCTGGCCGGCCAGAGCGGGGGCTTCACGCCCGTCTTCCTGCAGTTCCTGGATTGCGTCCATCAGGTGAGGTGCCCGGCTTCTGTGGGGAGGGCCGTGGGGCGCATCAGTGGGCTCCACTCTCCCTCTCCCTCGGTAACGGCTGCCCCTGCCCCTCTCTGCAGATCCACTTGCAGTTCCCCATGGAGTTTGAATTCAGCCAGTACTACCTGAAGTTCCTCAGCTACCACTCTGTCTCCAACCGCTTCCGCACCTTCCTGCTGGACTCGGACTACGAGCGCCTGGAGCTGGGTGAGGGGCCGAGCATGGGGCAGGTGGGGGGCAGGTGGGGGGCGGGGGCGGGGAGAGACGCTCGAGGCCCAAACAGGCACAAAGAGTTGGGCTGAGGCCAGGTTGTGCACTTCCTCCTGACAGGCCTTCTTTACGAGGAGAAGGGCGAGTCCAAGGGGCCGCAGCCCTTCCGGTCAGTCTGGGAGTATGTGGATCGGCTGAACAAGAAGATCCCGGCCTTCTTCAACTACATGTATGCCCCCGAAGACAGCGAGGTGAGCTCCCTCACACACACACCCCACACACACAGGGGTCAAGGGGATGGTGGGAGCTGCCTTCCTGCAGGGGAGGGGAAGGCCGGGGGGCCAGGGACCTCGCTTGACCCTCCACGGCCTCTCCCCCTCCTCCTCCTCCTCCTCCTCCTCAGGTGCTGCGCCCGTACAGCAACCTCTCCAACCTGAAGGTCTGGGACTACTACACGCAGGAGACCCTGTCCGAGGGCCCTTCCTACGACTGGGAGCTGGTGCAGGGCCGGCCGGAGCCTGTGGAGGACCCTGGGCCCCCGGATGCTGGAGCACCGACCCCGAGCCGGCGCAGGATCGTCTGGCCCTGTTACGACAACCGCAGCCGCGTGGAGCCAGACGCCATCTCCCGGCTGCTGGAGGTCAGCAGGTCTCGGGGAAAGAAGGAAGAGGGAGGGGGGAGGGAGGGAGGGAAGGGCAGCTGGGGTCATGCGGAAGGCAGAAGGGCCTTTTCGCCACTGGACTCTGTGCTTGGCCCTTGGGCGTCTCCAGGGGGGGGGATATAGGGCTTCCTGTGCTGCACTCTGATGTGGGGCTGATGCCCATGGATTGGCCATCTCCGCAGTCCATCTGGTCGGCCGCCCAGTGGCCTCTTTCATGGCCCCTCTTTGGCCACGATGCCCAGGGAGGCGCCCGGAAGACCTCTCCCGCTTTGGCTTGACCCAGGACTGTGCAGAGAGCACCGAGGCTGTCCCTGGAGCCCTGCACTTCCCTCCCTGAAAGTCAGGCCTGGGCTGCGGAGAGGAGTGGCCGGAGGGGAATTCAGGCCAGGGGGTCAAGCGGGGAGAGCCCTGAGAGCAGCCACTCTCCTCTTGCAGGAGCTGCAAAACCTGGAGATGGAGTTGGGCCAGATTCCCGGGCGTTGGAAGGACACCTGGGACAAGTTGAAGGCCTCTCAGCGAGCGGAGGCCCACGAAGACGCCGGTGGTGGCAAAGTAAGGGGCAAAGGGGGGAAAGGGGGCAGGCAAGGGTGCTTTCCCAAATACATTCAGCATACTGGTGTGGACCCACAGAGGCCCCTCCAGCTCAGGACCACCTATACCCGTGATGGTGAACCTATGACACGCGTGTCAGCACTGACACACATGGCTATTTTTGATGACACGCGGCCACAGAGAAGTACACCTTCTAAGAGCCAATCTAATTCCATCCTTGAATTTGTCAAAGGCTCTACAAATTTAACATCTGCACGTTTGAGCATTGTTCACTCCATAACTCTCCATGGAACATACATTTTTTTCTTATTTATACTATAAACTAGCTTGGGGACCCGGCGCTGCCCGGGTTATCAGAGAAAGTGGGTAATGGCGGTTCTGTATGCGAAGTTTGGTCCTTATTGGTCATTGGATAATGGCTGCATTGTTTTCAGGAAGTGAGTGAAGGTACTTGAAGTGCCATCATCCATGGTGCACCCTCCTCCAAACAGCAGCAGGATATAGAGTGGGTCATGGGGGCCCTGTGTGCCAAGTTTGGTCTAGATTGGTCATTAGATGAGGGTTGAGCAATCTTGGGAAGGGAGTGGAGGTACTTGAAGTCCCATCATCCATGGTCTGTCCTCCTCCAAACTGCACCAAGATGTAGAGTGGGTCATGGGGGCTCTGTGTGCTAAGTTTGGTCTTGATCAGTCATTGGATTAGGGTCGCAGTGGTTTCAGTAAGTGAGTAAACGTACTGCAAATCCCATAATCCATGGTCAACCTTCCTCCAAAACTGCAGCAGGATGTAGAGTGGGTCATGGGGGCTCTGTGTGCCAAGTTTGGTCTAGATTGGTCATTAATGAGGGTTGTAGCAATCTTGGGAAGGGAGTGGTGGTACTTGAAGTCCCATCATCCATGGTCTGTCCTCCTCGAAAGTGCACCAGGATGTAGAGTGGGTCATGGAGACTCTGTGTGCCAAGTTTGGTCTTGATCAGTCATTGGCGAGGGTCTCAGTGGTCTCAGGAAGTGAGTGAAGTGACTGCAAGTCCCATCATCCATTGTCAAATTCTTCCAAACCGCACCAGGATGTAGAGTGGGTCATGCGGGCTCTCTGTGTAAATTGTGGTCCTGATCCATCATTGTTGGCAGTTGTAATGGTCTTAGGAAGGGAGTGCAGGTATTGCAAGTCCCATCGTCCATGGTGCATCCATCCTCCAAACCGCACCAGGATGTAGAGTGCGTCATGGAGACTCAGTGTGCCAAGTTTGGTCTTTATCGGTAATTGGATGAGGGTTGCAGTGGTTTCAAGAATTGAGCAAAGGTACTGCAAGTCCCATAATCCATGGTCCATCCCCGGCCAAACCACACCAGACGTAAAGTGGGTCATGAGAGGTCTATGTTCCAAGTTTGGTCCTGATCAGTCATTGGATAAGGTTAAAAGCGGTCTCAGAATGTGAGTGGTGGTACTGCAAGTCCCATCATCCATGGTTCATCCTCCTCCAAACTGCAGTAGGATGTCGAGTGGGTCATGGGGGCTCTGTGTGCCAAGTCTGGTCTGTATTGGTAATTGTCTGACTCAGCCCCCTCTGGCCTTTTCCTTTCCTCTCTTTGTCATCTCGGAATCTTGGAATTGAGGCTGGCCAATCAGAGACCATATGCAAATTTCCTTCTCATGTCCCCGTTTCTGCCATGAACTCTTTTCTCCACCAGGGGCTCCTATTGAAGCTGGCCAATCAGAGACCATATGCAAATAGCACCACTGCGGCAGCCAATCAGAATGTTGGAACTTTCAGGCTGGCCAATCAAAACGCTGGCACATACTCCTCCCGTTGCACCGCCACACTTTTGTCCGCCGCATACAAACTTTCACCTTTATTATATACATATTGCAAAATTACATGTATATTTTCTCGAAGTTGACACCCCACCCTAGTTATGCTCAAGGTTTTGGCAAATTTTGACACACCAAGCTCAAAAGGTTGCCCATCACTGACCTATATGGACCTGACTGGGCCCCAAAGTGCTGGTGAGGCGAGCAAAGGGGGGGAGGGTGGGGGGGGGGTTCTCAATAAATAAAGGACTTCAAGACACCTCTGAACAGTTTTGTCTCAAGTTTTAGTTACGGGTGTTTAGCCGTTTCCTGGTGAAGTGTGCCGCATTTTGCTTTGTAAGCCACCCTGGCTTCTGGGGAAAGGAGGAGGGTGGCAAGGCAGGCTGTGGCAGCGGACCCTCGGTGACCAGGCCCCTCCCTCCCTCTCCTCCCCCTTTTTGGCCGCAGGGTGCGTCCAGTGCCCTGCTCATGGCGTCCAGCGGCCTCTCCCACCAGCGGCGCTCGCTGGGCGCCTACCTGCAGGAGAGCGGCGTGGGCAGCTCGGCCATCAACCTCAGCCTGGACAACGACGCCAGCAGCGCCTCCACCCCCTCCAGCGGGAAGCCGGGCGGCCGCCGGAGCAACACCAGCACCCTCTACAGCCAGTTCCAGCCGGCCGAGAGCGAGAACCGGTGCGCGGAGTGGGAGGGAGGGAGGGAGGGGCTGCCATTGGTGGGAGGGAGGGAGGGAGGGAGGGAGGCTGGGGGAGAGGAGGTGGGGGTCTTTTCCCCAGCACCCCCCGCCCTGCCCCCTCCTCAACTAGGCTCTCTCCTTCCCTCCCTTCCTCCCTCCGCAGGTCGTATGAAGGGACCCTCTACAAGAAGGGCGCCTTCATGAAGCCCTGGAGGCCGCGCTGGTTTGTGCTGGACAAAACAAAGCACCAGGTACATGGGGGGAGGGGGAGAGGGGGAGGGGGTGTGGCCCTGAGGGGAGGGCACTGACAGGTGGGCCTGTTGCCTCCCCCTGCAGCTGCGCTACTACGACAGCCGCCTGGACACCGAGTGCAAAGGGGTCATTGACCTGGCCGAAGTGGAGTCCATCACCCCCGGCACCCCGACCATGGGAGCCCCCAAAATGGTGGACGAGAAGGCCTTCTTTGATGTAAGTGGCCTCTGGCCGGCCGGGGGTGGGAGGGTTGGGGGTTCCTTGTGGGGGGGGGGGGTTCCTCAGGGAAGGGCCGGCCTCAAGAGACGTTCTCCCCCGCTCTCCTCGCCGCAGGTGAAGACCACCAAGCGTGTTTACAATTTCTGCGCCCAGGACGTGCTCCTGGCTCAGCAGTGGATTGACCGCATCCAGGGCTGCTTGTCCGACGCCTGAGGCTGCCCCCCCTCCGCCCCCCCTCCCCGAAAGGCCGCTCTCCTCCTCTGGCGGTGCCTGCTGGGACAGGACAGGACGAGACAGGAACGAGGCTCTCAGGGGGGGGCGCCCGGCCGGCCGGCCTTCTTTCCTTCTCAGAGGAAGATGCGCCGCTGCGCTCGCTCCTTGGAGCCAGGCCACAGCCCAGGAGGGGCCTCCCTTGCCCAGGCCCCCTCCGGCCAAGGTCACGGACGCTGCCCAGTGGACTCGGAGCGCTCTCTGATGGTGTGTGGGGGCGGGGGCGTGTGGAGGCCCTTTAAGAGGGCGGGCGGGCCGTGACGCTACTTGACCCTTCCCTCTGGCCTCATGGCCACGGGGCCAGATGTGGGGGGGGGGTCATCCCGTGGGAGGTGGGGGGCTCTGGGAGGTGGGAGCTTGCCAAACTGGCCCTTCCGGGTTCTTCCTCAGCTGCCCAGGAAGTGACCCTTGCGCCCGCCTGCCACTGACCCACAGCAAGGCGCGCCCCCGCCCCAGAAGCCCTCACCCCCCTCCCCTCCTGGTGGTTGAAGGCTTGAGGCGTGCTGGCTGCAGGCCGGGGTGGACGCTCGTTGTACATAGGCGGCCGGAGCCCGCTCCCCTCCCCCCTCCCTTTTGTATTTGTACAATATCGGCCGTGGCTGGTGTGAATTGGAGGGTTTTGTAACTTCCTTGCGCAGTTGTAGATTATTGAAGTTTCTGTACATTGTGTCAAGCCTACGACAACAACGACAACAGAGTCCTTGTATTGTATTGTGCCTAGAGGAAGAAAAATATATGAAGAAGAAGAAGGAGAGGCAAAGCTAATGGGGTTTAATAAAAAACAGTGACCTACGTGTCCTGGGGTCTGGCTCCCTGCTTCTCCCAAGGGGGGTCCGGGCCCCTCCTGCCCTGATGATTGGGGGGTCGCACCACCCCGCAAGGGGTCGGCCCCAGGCGCCCCTCGCCTGCCGCCGTTCACGCCACCCAATGTCCTTCTTCCTTGGACTCTGGGCCCCATTCCCCCGAGGAGAGGAGAGGAGCTGGGCTGGCGGACCCGTCTTGCTGCCGCCTTTTGGCCGGAAGCACGCTGGCTCCCCCCTCCCTCCCTCCCTCGGCCGCCTAGGTGGTCAGTCAGCCTGGAGGTGTGCCCAGGACCCCCTAGTCCAGCCCCTCCCGCTCAGAAGCGGACCACACCGCGTGTCTCTTAAAGGGCCAGCTGCCCCCACCCAAGGCTCCCCCTCCCCTCGGCTCATCATCAAGGGGGGGGGGCAGAGGGCCAGCCGGGAAGACTTCCTTCCTTGCGGATGGATGCGCCCTCGGCCACACCAGCACACAAACCAACCAACAAACAACCAGAGGCAGAAAGGATGTTTTGTTCTGTTTTATAGACTTTTTTGTAAAACATGTTTGCAACAGGAGCCATCCCAGCAGCCCTGGGGGGGGTCACCCAAGAAGAAGAAGACGAAGACAAAGAAGAAGAAGGGGGGGCCGCGGGGGGCGTTTGGCAGTTGAAGTCGTGAGCCGGTTGAGGGGGGGGAGGCCGAAGGGGGAGGGAGCGGGGAGGGGGGTGACAAGGTGCAAGCCCCTCCCCCACTGGGGTCCCTCCCCCTCCCGAGAAATGGGTCTCCCTCAGCCCCCCCTCCAGGCTGCTCCCATAGAATCCATGGGTGGGAGAGACCCCCCCCGACCCTCCCGCCCCCCCCTTCTGCCCCGCAGGCAGGAAGACACACAGCTCTCAGCACTCGCAACAAAGGCCCCCCCTGCCCCAATCACAGGAGCCCGGCAACTAACACTGGTGGGGGGGGGGCAGTCCAACCCACACAGGCTGGAGAGCGGCTTGGCTGACCCTTGACCCCTTCCATCCCCCCCCCACTCCCTGGCCAGCCAGCGTCTTCCCAGAGCCCTCGCCCACCCCTGGGGGCTGCCTCTGGGCCGGCCAACTGGGAGGCGGCTTCTCCTGGATGCTGC